CATCATTAGCAATTCTTTCTTTAAACCACTCAGAAAAACTCTCATTATTCTCTTTTAACAACCCTCTTTCATTCATCTTGGGGTACTTTTTCTTTATGATGCTTTTGTGAGCAGATAAGTAAGGCTGAACTTCATCAGTGTTATTCAATATATACAAATGCGTTTGTACAACCACCTCAATACTTAAGCTCTTTACCTTTAGACCTTGTGTACCTACACCCTCACATCTTCCATCATGACGAGACTTGGGAACCCCTACAACATCCACTTCTAAAAAATAGTTTGAACAAAACTCAATTGCTTCTTCTGTAATGTACCTCTCATTAATTGATGCTTCTAGACGGTGTGGGTTCTTTGTATACCCTTTTAAGATCTTCATGTATTGCTTTGTTGGATACATCCACCTTAAATAAATTGGACCACATGTTCTAATCTCCCTTACTAGATGGACAATCAAGTGAACCATAATGTCAAAAAATGAAGAAGGAAAATACATCTCTAATTGGCACAAGATAACTGCAGCCTCATTTTCTAAATCTTCTAACTTTAACGGATCAATGGCTTTACAACAAATTGCATTGAAAAATAAGCACAACCTAGTTATAGTCTTCCTAACATTATTAGGCAATATCCCACGAATAGCCACTGGTAGTAGCTATTGCATTAAGACATGACAATCATGAGACTTTAACCCAATTAATTTGAGATCTTTAACTGATACAAGCCTCTTGATATTTGATGAGTAACCATGCGACACTTTAATACTTTGTAAACACTCACAAAACTTATTTCTCCTTTTTAGGCAAAGTGTCGCAGGCAAGAGGCAAATATATCTTGTCACCTATATGCTATGCAGTTAACTCTTCTTGTATACCCATCAAACCCAAATCCAGATGAGCAATATAACCATTTTTTGTCTTGTCCTGAATGTTGATAAGTGTTCCGATTAAACTATCACATACATTTTTCTCCACGGGCATCACATTAATACAATGTCTTACATCAAGACTAAACCAATATGGAAGATTGAAGAAAACGGACCTCTTTTTCCATATATTTTTCATAGTAGTTTGCTTTTGGTACTTTCCAAAGATAACATTAATGCCCTGTTGTCGTTGATAAACTTCCTCTCCAGTTAAGGGCTTTAGAGCAACATCATGCTCTTGTTCCCCATTGAAAGCTTTTCGCAATCTACGATATGGATGATAACGATTTAGAAATTTCCGATGTCTGAGATAAACAGTCTTCTTTCCTTTTTCAAGTTGATGGTAACATGTGTCTTTTTCACATATATGACACACTTTATGCCCTTTAACTTTGTACCCAGACAAATTGCCATATGCCGGAAAATCGTTGATGGTGCAAAATAGCATGGCATGCATATTGAAATGTTCACCAAAATACGCATCAAAAACATCCACCCCTTCCTCCCACAAAACTCTTAAATCATCTATTAGTGGAATTAGATAAACGTCTATGTCATTTCCTGGTTATTTTGGGCCCGAAATCATCATCGATAACATAATATATTTACGCTTCATGCACCTAGGAGATAGATTATAAATCATCAAGAGAACAGGCCAAGAAGTATGGTTAGTACTTAGATTACCAAATGGATTCATTCCATCAGTAGAAAGTCCAAGTCTAATGTTTTTCGACTCTTTGCCAAAATTTGGAACACAAAGAATCTATTTTCTTTCATTGCAAAGAATCAACTACATGGCAAATTTGTCCGTCACTTTTTCTTTCTTCTGCATGCCATCTAAGATTCTTTGTGTCATTTGCATTAGCGAATAATCTCTTGAACCTTGAAATTATTGGTAGGTACCATACTACTTTCGCAAGAGGACCCTATTTGACCACCTCATCATCACTAGAATCACCATCTTTCTTTTTGTAGTGTGACGCCTTGCACTTCGGATAGTGATTATAGTTTACATACTCTTTTTTGTATAGTATGCAATCATTAGGGCATGCATGTATCTTTTCATACTCCAAACCCATCAGACACAATAACTTCTTCACCTCGTAATAACGATATGTTACCTTCTAGAAATATTTGTGTCAATAATTCAAGCAATTCGGTAAAACTTTTGTCAGTCCATTTATTATTTGCCTTCAAATTAAACAATTTTAACAAAGTTGACAAACGTGTAAAATTTGTGCATCTCGGGTACAAAGATTTATCCTTGTCACTGCATAAAGTATCATATGCATGTGCCCTCTTAAAGGAATCTTGTTTAATATCATGCATCATGTCTTCCAGGCGATCATCCATTTCTACACTAACATTATCTTTCTGGGACATATTTGACTTTGCTACTACTTCACCATGCCATATCCATTGTGTGTAACTTTGACAAATCCCTTCACAAATTAGATGATCCATAATTTCTTTGTTATTAAGTTTTGGTTCTCCATTTGCACAACGAACACATGGACAGAGAAAAAGCACATGGTGACTTTTTTCAGCATTACTTTCAGGAGGAGGAAGATTTGTTTTAGCATTACTTTCAGCAAACTGTATAAATTCCATCATTCCATGTTCGTACTCAGTACTTAATCGATTAGCTCTCCTCCAACCACGATTTGTACCTATGTTCCGAAATTAACATATACAGAGTTAAATCATTGTGACGCCTACAATAGTCCCTCTTTTGGACACATCAGAGAGAACAAAAGTCTCTACGTGTAAACACGTGGCATTAAATTAAATCATAAAAATTATTTCTAACAAAATGGTATTATCATAAAAATTCTATTACTCAATTTTAATCCAAATAGAACCAAATTAACATCAAAATTATTTGACATTTTTATCTTCAATTTTAACGCAAATAGAACCAAGTTGACATCAAAATATTTTAATCATTTTTACAAAAAGCTATTATTATAAACAATAAAATTATGTACTGTTAAAGATACCTTATAGATCGTTGTTATCACCGGCAAAGTACTAGAAAGTAGAAAAAACTCAAGGTTGTCTCTCCAAGCCAACAAGCACAAGGTTGTTTCTTCTAAGACTTTAACAAACCGAAAAGCCAAAAATTCTAAAAAAGATATCTTCGATTAGCACCAATTAACCAACCACTTTTCCATAATATGGAAGAATTAAACCACTAATATATGACATTAATTCATTGAAAAATATATGAAACAAACTGATTTTTCTACACACTAAATTTCAAATTCCATAATTCTTACAAAAAACTATTATTAAAAATAGTAAAATCATGTACTATTAAAGATACCTTATAAATCGTTGTTATCACCAACATAGTACTGGAAAGTAGAAAAAGCTCAAGGTTGTCTCTGCATGCCAACAAACACAAGGTTGTTTATCCTAAGACTTTAACAAACCGAAAAGCCAAAAGTCCAAAAAGATATCTTCGGTTAGCACCAATTAACCGACCACTTTTCCATAATATGGAAGAATTAAACCACCAATATATGATATTAATTCATTGAAAATATATGAAACAAACTGAATTTTCTACAAACTAAATTTCAAAATCCAGAATTCTTACAAAAATTTATTGTTAAAAACAGTAAAATAATATACTGTTAAAGATACCTTAAAGAAACCACGCGAACGAAAATGGCGGAGGGAGAAACACACGAACAAAAATGGTCGAGGAAGGCCTGACGCGAACGAAAATGGTGGAGGGAGAAAGGACGTGAACGAAAATGGCGGAGGGACGGTGGAAGAAGAAGATTGAGACGGTGGAAGAATAAGATATGGAAAACGGGGACGACGATGGTTTAAAGGTTTAAGGAAGAAGAAGAAAAATGGGAACGTTTGAGGGAATGAGGCGAAGAAGAAGAATGTTGGGTTTTGAGATTTTGAGAATGTTATGCTTACGGGTAGGGTTTGGGCTTTTAAGGAAGATTTTACATCGGTTGGCATATGGGCCGATGTAAAATCCTTTAACATAAAACATTTTACATCACTTCCTGTTAATGGACCGATGTGAAATCCATTACAGGTCTGACACATTTTACATCGATTGTAATTAAAGGACCGATGTAAAATCCTTCAAACCATTTTTTACATCGGTTGGAATAAATGACCTGATGTAATATGTTTAATCCATTTTTTTTATTTAGAACTTTTTACATCGGCTGGGATAAATGGCCCGATGTAAAATATTTAATCTATTTTATTTATTTTTTATTAAGAACTTTTTACATCGGTTGGGATAAATGGTCCGATGTAAAATTCTTTATAACAAAATTTCTTATTATTTACGAAACTGCCACCGCGTTATTTTTCACATCAGTGAAAATATATGTCTAATGTAAAATCCTTAAATCAAATATTTTTCACATCATATTGTTAATAAATCTGATTTAAAATCCTTAAATCAAATATTTTTCATATCATATTGTTAATAAATCTGATTTAAAATCCTTTGACAAATAATTTTCACATCATATATCTTAGAATCTGATGTAAAATAATTTAACCAAATATCTTATTTTTAGTAGTGTCATATAATAAGAATTTATCATCGTAATTAATTTAAAAATATTTAATATTATTTGATAGAATTTATGATAGTTATTGATTGACAATTATTTTACAATGCTCCTAAAAACCAATCTAATCAAACATTATTGATTTTAAGACGTTGAATTCCTAAAAAAAATTTATACTACAAATGTAACAATTATTAACACAAGCAAACATAAAAACAAAAACCAGATAGTTGATCAATATCCAAATAATAAAGTACATAAAAACATGTGCCGTTATCTTACCCATTGATCAATTATTCCGTTCCCCATTGTGATTTTGTCATTTGAGCTTAATGACTTAAAGTACATACTACTAAAAACTAACATCAATGCAATAACAGAAAAGTTAAAAAAATTACACCTCCCCACCAATGCTTTCATTATACCCCCTCCAAAGTAAAGTTACAATTCACATTAACTTGAAAAAGAAGGAAAAAAAGAAGAAAAAAAAGTTAAACAAAAAACCTAATAAAGTCAGATTATCATGGAGAATTTATAGTGTCAAGAATATCCGCAGGAGGAATGAAATGGTCCATTGAGAGTCCAGGTACATTAAACATAACATCATCAATAGTCCAAATCTCTTCCATTCTTGTCCTACTATGCTGCATCGAGAGTTCGCCAAACCTAAACACCGTCGCAATCGACCTTCCTTGATGCGCAATCAAAATTCCATCCACGTCTCTATAGTCGCCAATGCTGCTTCCTATAGTAGTCTCCCAATACACCGTATCACTATCTTGCGTTGGAACTCTAGTCAAATGCGAGTCTTCCAAATATATAAGGAGTCCACTCTTTTGACAAAAGTAACCATATAATATGTGCCTTATCACCTCCGCGGGTCCCTCGCTTCTTTCGATCACCGTCTCACGATCCGCGCAAACCTTTAAAACGAAGCAATCAACGTTCCCGATCCGATTTTCTCCCAAGCATTGCGCATTGGTGAATAAGCTTGCGGTGCTCTTCGGGTCCAAACCCTAGTATGTGCAACATCAAAATACAAGATTATTGAAAAGTTGATAAACCCTAATTCAAAATTCATAGTCATTGAACGTTATTCTAGGAGAAACATTGTTAAAGAAAGAAACAAGTACAAATGTAAAAAGGAATATATAGGTATGAAAGCAGGGACAATAATGTTAGTGGACAATGAACTATTCATTAAAGTGCAAAAAAGAAAAAGCAAAAGCAAAAGGATAATTCATTCATTTTCAGATTCAGAAGTAGGGTACCCTGTGCACTGCACTAGGTTGCAATCCCAAGATCATGAGTCATTGATAAGTGCTGACGTAAGATTGACAATCACGTGGCATTGTAAGTGTCCCTATTTTCTATAGAAAAATTCCAGGTTGTAGGGTAAAGTAAGAGACAGTTTCTCTATCATTGTCAGCTCGAAATATACCCTTCAATATTCACGTTGGGATTTCAATTTCAATCTCTATCTTTGTTTGGTAGTGTAGGCTACTTTGAACACAAGGGTGTTTGTTAAATCTACTCACCAACCAATAGACCAAACACTAATATATAAAATATATACAAAACTAAGGTCTTTTAAATATGTTCTATCTAATATGTCTAATATGTTTCTTTCATGCTATTCCTTTTTTTTTTTTACCATTTGCGAAGGACATTAATAATAAATTTTTATAGTTTTTAATTTTTAGAGATCTAAAGTTCGCATGTATGTTGAAATATCAGTTTTTGCAGGCTAGACCAAAGTTTGAGCGAAACAGATAAAGGTTATAGGTCTGCACCATCAATTATGTATGCTTTGTTCTGCTTTGTTTATCTTTTTGCTGATCTTTGTAAGACTGACTTAAATAAGACGGATTAAAGTTTTAAACCTGCACTCTCAACTATGTTTTTCTCATTTCTTTTGCGAATTTTTAAATAACATATCTAAACATAACGGATATGCCTATTTTTCATCCCGTGTAAAACTATAATTCAAATTTAAAATATAACATAGTAATAGTAATCTGTGATTATACCTGAATAATGCGCCTTAGTGGGCGTTGTGGACCTTTAGCAGCATGAGTACCTAACCAAGGAGTATGTCTCCAGACAGTTTTACCATTGCTACCAGCAACAATCTTATGGCCTCCAACAACCAATTCAAGAGACCACATTCCTGGCAACATCTGCCAAAGTACAAAACAACCATTTTCGCTGCTTCTTGTCCCTAAACACTTTACATTCTTCCCTGATGATATCTCTGTTTCACAACAAATCATCTTCACCATTCCAGTCGCATACATGTTTTTGTTCTCCTTTTGTTGTTTCAAACACCCTGTTGCAGCTAAGTATTGTTGTATGATGTACTTGGCTGTTGAAGTTTCCTGTTTTAAATTATATAATTAGTTAATTTAACATTTAAAATGTTAACAAATTTGCTGTAAATATTTTGTGCGCAACTGCAGTAACTAATCTTTCGAGATAACACACATTTTTTAAAGTTAAGACATATCTTGCAATTTTCAACTACTAATACTAAACATGGTTCATGAAAAACGGTTCTTTATCGCGAAAACATACACGATAAAATGGTTTCAGAAGGTATATGCCAATACGGATAGATGACACTATTCAATATCACAACACTTATACCGACGAAATCGCGAAAGCCTTTATGCGACTGTGTCTGATATTTAAAAACTTAAATTAAAATCAATGCTAAAAAAGGAAACATTTTGATGAGTAGAGAGAGCTTACAAATGGGGTATCTTTGATGTGATTGTGAATGGTTAAAGCAGGGTCATGATCTGAGGGAATTGGAGCCAAGGGACAACCTAGGACACCAAGCAACAACCTTAAATCTTGTGTTTTAGCATGAATGGTTCCATAAAATGATTGTTGGGATGAAATGTTGGCACCAGGAGAAATCTTCTGAGCTTTGAACCATTCCCTTATAGCCTCCCAAGAGCTTTCTTTTTTGGTTCCTTCTTCTTGCATTTCAGGGTCAGGACCTTCCATTAAGGGTGTTAATGGTTGTGGTGCCCAACTCTGACGCCAACGAGCTGATCTTGAACCCATTCGTGTGGTGAATAGGAATCAAATGAAGGTGGTGATGATTGGGTGATGAGAATGGAGTAATAAGAATGAAATCAAGAGGTATTAGAAAAGTGGATGGTTAGTGAGTTTAAAAGAGTGTGAAAGAGTGAGAGTTACTCCTGCTCTTGTTGGATACTCTCTGTCCCATGATATATATACTCCATCTACTATATTGATTTATTAGCAAAAGGAATTTGTCACAAAATAATTGACTGTTTGAGACTTTTCATTTTTAAAGTTATTTTAACTATTATTTTTTAAAATTTGTTATCTAATTATTGTGGTATATATTATTTTAGATTTAATATATTTTACAATTTATATTTATTATGGAAGTTTCAATCATAAGTCCAAAGTCACTCCATTAAGATTGAAGGTGCATGTTGATGTTGCCTGCATTAGATGTCATCTGACACCTCTTGAATTTCATGTCGAAATAATATGGGATGTTGATATCGCCCTAATATATAAGGTATTCCATATGAAATCTAAGGTATTATTTGAACCATAACTCTTATTACTTCTAATATTTTTATTGGTTTTAATGTTGGAGTGTTAAGCAGGTCTATTTATGCACCGTTGCACTGAAGATATACTTCGTTGTATCACTATAAGAAAACCTGCAGTTTGCTAAGTGATTTAGTGACGTGGGAAAAAACAGAGGTTGCGACGTGTAAACCACGTCACTACATTATTTAATTAATAACCCCTCCAAATTTAAAATTTGTAACGTTGAGTGCTGTTTTTTTGGAGGAGGGAAATTTGAATTATTCAGAAATTAAGTTGTGGCGAGGTAACCATGTGGAAAACAAAAATTCAAAAATATTTTTATTCTTGCGACGTGGAAAACAAGTCACAAAGTACCCACATGGTACCCACGTCGCAAATGAAAAAAATATTAAAGTTGGTCTCCATTTACTTTTACAGTTGGGACACGTTAAAAGTTGATTTGACTTTTGTAGATCTTCTCACATGATTCCCACGTCGCAAATGGGAAGGCATTAATGTATTATTTTAATTTTTTACCGTTACTTGTCATTTATTTTTTGAACGTTGAAAATAAAATGCTGGAAAAGTTCCGACGTGCTTATCACGTGGCTACTTTTCCATGTTGATTTCACGTCGCAACTGATAAGCCTTATTGATTGTTCCGACGTGGTATTCATATATGTACTTTCTCACGTGTCTATCACGTCGCAAATTAGACTATATAATGTCAAATCTTAGAACCCTCCCTTCACACATTTCTCTTTTCCTTCCTTCTTTCTTCTTCCTTCTGCTTGCGTTATGTGTGCTTCCTCTCCTCCTTCACTGCGTTTCACAAACATTTTCAATAGGTATGGTAAATATTACATTCTTACTGTTTATTTTTGTTTTACATTTTATTTTAATTTTTTCTTATTATTAATTTTTAATTTTTTTCCCGAAGATTAAGATTTGGAAGATTAAAGAAGAGCTCATCAAATCTAAAGATTTAAGTTTTAGTTTTGCTCATTGAGGTATTTATGTAATTTAAATTATTTATTTTTTCAGATTTATAAGTATATGAAATGTTTGGTTGTTGTATAAAATTAGAATTTATTGATTATATGTGAAAAACAGAATATATATTATATTTTAAACGTGAATAATATTGATTATATATGAATAATGTTGTATATAAAATGTTTGGTTGTTGTTGCTGTATTTAAATATGTTATTTTTATTAAAAACAAAATATATATTATATTTTTGGTTATTGATTATATATGAAAAATAAATTATATATTATATTTTAGAATATTATATTTTAAAATATGTATTATATTTTAGTAAACAAAATATATATTATATTAGAAAAAATAGAATTTTTAAACATATTTTTAGTAAACAAAATTGTAAATAGAAAAAATTAAAAAGTATTTTTTTAACAACATAAAGTTATGTAGATTAGAAAACAAAATTGTAAATATTTTTAGAAAAAGTATTTAGTAAATAGAAGTATTTTTATTAAAAAATAATGAATATGTATTATATTTTAAAAGTGTTATTTTTAGTAAACAAATTATATATTATATTTTAGAATATGTATTATATTTTAGTAAACATAATATATATTATTTTAGAAAAAACAGATTTTTAAAATAATGATATATATTATATTTTAAATGTGTTATATTTAGTAAACAAATTATATATTATATTTTAGAATATTATATTTTAGAATATGTATTATATTTTAGTAAACAGGATATATATTATAGTAGAAAAGACATAATTTTTAAAAATATTTAAATTTATTTTTAATAGGTTAAAATGCATAATTAGATTTTATATTTTTATATTTGTATTTATATTTTTATAGTAAGAAAATATTTTTAAAATAATGTTACAAAATTAGGTTGTTGTATAATATGAAGTAATATTTTAATTCATATTAGGTTAAAACAATGTGAAAAGAATTATATTATTTTGCATATTAAAATCACATATTTAATTAAAATGATATATAATGATAGTACAAATGTGCAGTATGAGATATTTTCGTTACTATCGTAGTTGGATGTACGATAGAACGTTACCAGGCATACGTGGACTTACACCAAATTTTGAGGAAGGAGTTAAAGAGTTTCTCACGTGGGCATTTGCACAAGAATGTTGTCGACGTGAAGGAGGAGTAAGATGTCCTTGTCTTAAATGTGAATGTAGACCTGTAATTAGTGACCCAGAGGAAGTAGAACATCATTTGAAGAGGAAGTGTTTCATTAAAAATTATTGGGTTTGGACATATAATGGAGAACAACTGTCGAGTAATGTACATGCAGAGACAACTAATACACACGCATCAATCAGTCGATCACATATGGAATTTGAGAAACAATTTAATCTGATCAATGATATGGTTGGCAATCCATTTGGAGTAAATGTGATATATGATGAACCTCAAGATTTTGATGGGGAAGAGTTGCCGAATGAGGAAGCACAAAGATTTTACCAATTGTTGAAAGAAATGAATACACCGTTGTTTGAGGGGTCGACAGATTCAAAATTATCAATGTGTGTGAGATTATTGGCTGCAAAGTCAAATTGTAATGTTCCTAATCAGTGCTTGGAATACTTTGCAAAAATGATGTTGGATGCGACTCCTATGAAAGACAACTTGCCTACAAGTTATTATGATGCAAAGAGGTTGGTGTCGAAGTTGGGTTTAGAAGTATGAAAGATTGAATGATGAGGCGCTGGAGGAATGTAAGTTTTGTAAGAGTCTGAGATATCAAGTTCGTAGTAAAGTCATTAACCGTAAACAAAAACCTGTAGCAGTGAAGTTCATGTTTTGTTTGCCGATAATACCAAGTTTAAAAGATTGTTTGCTTCAATGCACAGTGCAAGTCAAATGACATGGCATCATACAAACAAAACAAGTTCAGGAATTATGCGGCATCCATCTGATGGTGAGGCATGGAAACATTTGGATAGGGTACATTCTGATTTTGATGCAGAACCTAGAAATGTTAGGCTCAGACTATGCTCTGATGGTTTTACTCCATATGTCCAAGCATCCACAATTGCATATTCCTATTGGCCAGTTATTGTAACCCCTTACAACCTCCCTCCAGAGATGTGCATGACAAAACCATACATGTTTTTTATTAATGTATTATTTGTTTTATATGAATGCAAATGATTTTTACGTGTATACATTGTGTTGATAATAGTCTTGATTTATTTATTGATAACTCTTTCAAAATATATAGAATTCCACCCCGAACTAACAAGGGTAAGGCTAAGGAGACCCAGCCCCGTTCGAGAGCTAGAGCACGTGAGGTACCGCCCTCGCCCATGTATGCTTCTCGCCCATAGACTCAGGCAGATCTAATGTCCGTAGACACTTCACAGCCATTTACGACATTACTCTCCTCCTTCCAAACGGTTCCATCTGGGAATCCATCGTTTATTAGTCCGCTTGGGGGATCCTTCATGCATCCGCTTGGGGGATCTAATTTTCCTCAGGTACCGTCTTTGTTCACACAGTAGTCTAGGGGATCTAGTTTTCTTCCTCGGCATTATTCCTTCACACAGCAGCCTGGGGGATCTAGTTTTCCTCAACAGACTCCCTTCGCACGGCCTGGGGGATCTGATTTTTCTCAGCAATATTCCTTCACGCAGCAGCCTGTAGAATCTAGTTTTCCTCAACAGACTCCCTCCACGCACCAGCCAGGGGGATCTGGCTCCCGTATTCCACACCCCACACATATACCTGTGCGTCGGGAGCAGGATGACCACCCTATTCAGGAGAATGACGATGTTCATGAGGAGCAGGAAAATCTTGTTGCAGGGGAAATTTTGGTGGTTAAAGGACGACATCTGATTAGGCCTGAGGGATCTGGGTATGTTTTTAATTTATAATATTTATTTAACTATATATTGTCGTTTTATGTTTAATACTCATTCAAATTATTGTTGTTTGGTTTTGATCTGTGTCGGCCTGCTGCAAAAGCTGTAAAGTAGGTCATTCAATTTATGTATATAAAACTCATTAAGTCTTTCGGAGAGCTCCCAGATAGTGAGAAAGATATATGGTTTGATAAATTCAAGGTAAATTGTATTTTTATTATAGTTATGTTATTTTATAATTATGTTTTGTTATATAAATATCTAACATTTTATTTGACTGTCATATAACTTGCAGGAAAGGTGTACTTGGAAAAAATTTGACGAGTTCAAAATTAAAAAAAATATTTAGAAGTAAGGTATCTATCATATTATCTGACATGCTCAGGAATGCTAGACAACGTTGAGAAAGAGATCAAACTCGTCCTAACTGGATAGGGGAGGAAATATTTGGGGAACTCATTGAGTGGTGGAAGACAGAAGATTTTCAGAGAAGATCTGAACATGCAAAAAAGATGAGGGCATCTGAAGCAGGTGGCTGTCTTAGTACAGTTGGAAGTATCAGTATCGGCGAACATTGTCGACGAATGGTAATTATAACTATTTTTTAA